ACCCCATGAAAACTTGGACCCTGCTTTCCTCAAAGTCAACACACTTGGCACTGCAGCTCAGAACTGCTGGGAGCCAAAGGAGGGCCCTTTCTGGAATAATGGATTTATTCATGCCTCTCCCTGTGGGACAGGCAATAAACAATCTAGGCCACTACCCTTGCTCAGGGATCACCTATTAGTGGGTGCAGCCAACAGACAACTAGTAATGAGGATTGGGTTAGGTAGGTAAATGCTATAAACAAAAATGTAAAAGTCAGGGGCTCCAGAGGGATGAGCCATGATATTTTGGGCAGGATGGTCAGAGAAGGCCTGAGGAAGTAGCATTTGATCTCTAGGTAACCAAAGGCAATAGAGCAGGTCTGACGGCCAACCTCAAAAACGGGCTCCTGACATGACTTCTTAGACTAAGTAGTAAACCTTGCTGAAGAGACTAAGTGCCAGGTTCTTCCATCAGGTCTTGTGTAATTGTGGCTTCCTAAGGTGGAAATATGCTCACAAAGAGAGAGAGGGCCAGGTATAGAGAAACCTGTGGGGAAGGGTCTTAGATCAATAGATGCCAGTGCAGGGGACATAATAGAGCAGTGATTTTAAACTTTTTTCATCTCATGGCACAAATAAACTAATTACTAAAATTCTGCGGCACACCAAGAAATATATTTTTTTTGCCAATGTGACAAAAAAAAAGAGGTATAATTTTGATTCATTCACACCAGATGGCTATTGTATTGGATGTTGTCATTTCTTGTTTGTTTGTTTGACAATCTAAGGCAGAGGTGGGAACCTTTTTACTGCTCAACTGGCCATTATCATTCATGGGGTTTGACAAGTGAGAGGAACTGCTGTCACTGGAGCCATGTATGGCACTACAAGAGGTGAGGACTTGTTTGAGAGACTTGTTTTATCAATGTAAAAACTTGAGCTAACATTTGAAAAGTTAAGTGGCCTTACTACAGAGGAGCTGCAGCCATGGTTGGCTCACAAAAAGGGTTAATTATATTTGTCAAGAAATTACTGAATCATCTCAGTCTTGACCAAAGTGATTTAATTGTATGTCACTGCATCATACACCAAGAAAGTCTCCATGCACAGTCATTGCAGCTCAGCAATGTGATGTTAACAGTAATGTCATGCATAAATTTTGTCAAAAGCAGAGGGATTAACAGCTGCCAGTTTAAAGAGTTACTAAATAATCTTGACTCTGAGTATGGTGATATTGTTTATCACTGTGAAGTTCGGTAGCTGAGTCACCAGAACATGCTCATGAGGTTTTACAAACTACGGATAAAGTCAAGCAGTTCATGGAGATGAAGGGAAAATCTGTCAGGGAACTCAGTGATAGCAAGTGGCTGTGTGATTTAGTGTTCATGGTGGACATCACCAAGTATCTCTCAGAGCTGAACATCAAGCTTCAGGACCCCAACCAGCTTCTCAGCTCCCTGATTTCAAATGTGAAATCATTTGAAGCTAAATTAAGGATGTGGAAATTACAACTCAAAAGGAAAAACACGATGCATTTGCTGTGTTTGTCTAAAAGGCAAACACTTTCTGACATTTGAAAATGCTGGTTAATGTGTACAACTAATTGAGGCATTTAATGAATGATTCAAAAACATGAAAAAATAAAATAAATGTAATTAAATATCTTTGCTACACTCTTCAATGTGGAATCAGCTGATGGACCTGAAAACCTACAACACAAAATCATTCAGCTGCAAAGAGATGATGAGCTGAAAGCTAGGTACGACAACCTCCCACTGCTTTAGTTCTATAAACATTACCTAAGCAATGATGAATTTCCCACTTTGAGGAGACATGCACTGAAATATGCATGTGTGTTTGGAACACTTACTGCTGTGAGCAGTTCTTATCAAAACTTACCATTGCAAAGAGTCAACTCTGTTCCAGATTGACTGACACAAACCTGGAAAAGCAGTTACAAGTAGCAACATCATCAACACCAACTAACATCACACACCTCACCAAAGAGAAGCAGTTTCAGCCATCACATTAGGGGTGAGTTAATTAAATGTTTGACCAAATATAGCAGGCTAATTTTTAAATTGATAATTTTGTATGACCTGCAAATGATGTTGTATTCAAATGGCCCTTGGCAGAAAAAAGTTTCCCACCTCTGCCTTAGATCGTCAAACAAACAAGCAAACACACAGAAAATTACAACAACCAACACAACAATAGCCATCTGGTGTGAATGAATAAAAATTATAACTATTTTTTCTCTTGTCACATTGGCAAAAAAATATATCTTTTGGTGTGTCACAGAATTTTAGTAATTAGTTTATCTGTGCCATGAGATGAAAAAGGTTGAAAATCACTGCTCTATCATGTTCTCTATACCTAAATCCCATCTGAGGTTGTCTGAGCAACACTTTTCTGTCCAAAGGCTTAGCTTTGTTTGAGCAACAACCTAAATCCCTTTCAACTTCCAGGGTTGCCCACATCAATAACTCCGTATTCTTTAGTGGACACCTCACAGGCCAGGCCAGGGAGGGACTGCAGGTAGAGGATCTGGAGGCCTGGAAGGCTCTTGGAAAGCTCTTAGAATGCTCTTGCAGTAGAACAAGTGGGATATGGAAGTGACAGGGCCAAGAGTAGGGGCAAGATGGAGTGACTGGGAGGAAGTGGCACAGAAGGAGAGAGCCAGCAGGGAGAGCACATGTGTTGTGTGTGTGCTCAAGGGCCAGATGACCTTCTACAGATGAGCACCAATGAAAACACTGAGTCAGTACTAGGGCAAATATAGTGGCCTAATCCTGACTGGGCAGGGTCAATATGGGGTAGGTAACTATATGTTTCATTTAACCCAACACAGAACAATATAAAACCAGTAAAATTAAATTAAAGCATAAGAAAGAACACCTTGTTTAAGAAAGCAGGAATGTGCAATTCATTTGTGAAAGTTTTCCATAAAAATAACTTTTATAGAGCTGAGAGAGTTTGATTAAAATCGAAAGCAGACTTAAGAAAAACAGATCTTGGGTGAGTAATTAATAATCATTGTTTTATCTATTTAGTTATATATTAATATGACAGGTCTAAATTGCACCTCATTTGAATGATATTAAATCATATCTCTATATCTCTATTCATTCCAATATGGGACCACCTACTATAGTGTTTGTCATCTATCAAGTGTTTAACACATGTTTAATAAACGAATGTTATTGGATGAATAAAAGCATTATTTTAAGATCTCAAGGAAACAATAGAGCCATATAAGATGTGACCCTTTCTCTTGGAGAATCAAATTGACAGTCAATAATTCTTCTACTTTTCAGAAACCAGAATGACAGCTAGAGATCTCCTTATCAGAGCTAAATTGCCTGGGCAAAGCCAAGATAAACCCAAAGTAATCTACATAGACTTCTCTGTTCAGACCACACAAATTTGAAAAATCTTCCTCATACGACTGGGGTAACATCTGCACCAATTAATCAAGCAATCAATTTAAGGGCATCCCACACAAGAATTACCATTTTTCTTGTCTTTTCTCTGTCTTATCCTTGGGAAGTGGCAGGTCTCAGGAGATAGACTGTTTCTGAAAGTTAGGACCTGGGATTAGTCTGGGCCAGGAGCAGAGCAGGCTTTAGAATTAGTGAGAATATGGGTAGGAAAGGACATTCTGAAAAGAAAAGCAAGGAGACAGATTTATTGTGCAGAACCACAAGGCCAAAGAGAAACAAAAGAACAATTCTGTATAGAATATTGGGAGAAAAATATTAATTCTCATCTCTCTTCTCCCTCCTGTTTGCCCTCTTTTACTTCAGGTCAAGCAGCTAGCAAGCAATCTACAATTAAAGGTGCTTTCTAGTTCAAAGCCTTGTTACAAGAAATAATGTGTTAGGAGTGGAACAATGAGCTAAGAGTGCTGGTTACAGCTCAAGAACAGAGCTCCACCCACACAGAATGTACCCAAGAAACTCAGAAGCAACACCTGGGGTGTAATTGTGAGACTGTGTTAGCTCCCATTCCATTGATCTTCCTCTTCAAAGGAGAACTGCTATTGTCAGCCAGTCCTGAAGAGGTATTTGAGTGATCTGGAATGTTCTGACTGAAATAAGCCTGAAGGCACTGTTTTAAACCAGCTAGGACAGGTCTCTTGGGTTCATTTACCATGGGGAACCGGAATCTCTTTCATCACTCATTCTTGCTTAGACAAAATTCTTCCCATCTCCCAGAATCAGAAACCTAGATAAGAACTGGCCAAGACTGAGAGCATGAGGAAAATCTGCACACTGGTTTTCATGTGCCCTCTGTATGTAGGGAGGAGAAAGAAGACCCTAAAAGCAGCTGCAGGCCTGTTGGGGGCAGGAATCATTGAGGCACAGGTGGGAAGCATTTCTCTTTATAGAAATAAGAAAAACAAGGCCAAGAGTGGTTAGATACATACACAGGGCCAAAGCTAATTTTGGTTGAACCGAAGCCATTCCTGAGTGACCTCCTAGAGCTCTTTTCTCTTGAACATCACCTTATTGAAACTACCTGCCTGGCTCATTGAATAATGGTGAACCTGAGACTCCCCAGACAGCAACTGAATTCCTGTTGTTCTGATTGGAAAAAAGGAGAGGAAGAAGGCAGGAGACTGTGTGGTGTGACAAATTTTAGAAAGATTTATTTAAAAGAAGTTTCAGTCTTAGGAAAATCTATATCCATACCAGCAGAGTGCTGGGCAGCTTTAAAATTGATGAATCAAATTTATTGACATAGAAAGACATTCACAACATATTTTATATGAAAAAGCATACTATAGTTGAGTTGTATTGCACTGAAACATACGCTCACACGTGTACTCACATATACACCTAGAAAGATCACCATGCCGTCATGGTAATAGCAAATTGTTTCTGGTTGGTGGCATTTTAGGGAAATTTATACATTCTGTCTTGGTTTTGCTCATCTTACTGCTAACTTTCCTTTGACAAATATGCATTACTTGTTCAATCATTCATTTTTTAAATAGAAACAAGAATAGGTTTTGTTACCTGGTTAGCTTTAGTTGTCTACAACATTCATCTGTATGAGAGATCATCTCCACAGAACTATCTCCATGATGAGATGTTCAACCTCGTCCCCGACCCAGACAAGGAATCCTTTGCTGAATTCTGAGCCCCAGTGACAAGGGGTGACTCATAGGACCAAGAAAGTAGCGTCATCATGCGCAAGACAGGAAGTTGCAACAGTCCTTTCACGTGGGGTTTCTTGTGTGGTATGCATAGTCAGGGCTCCATAGCTTTCATCCTCTGTTGTATTTGGGGTTCCATGGGGGAAATATCGACAGGAGTCACTGAAGGTTGGAGTCAGAGTTTGGTTGTCAAAACAGACAAGTAACTAGAAAAAATGAAGAAAAGGCTGTAGGGACTTCATAGAGTCATGGGTGCATATCAGTGGGGACAGGGAACCCACATTATTCTTCTATTCCTGTCACAGGCCACCTTGCAAACTACATGGTCCCACTATTCAATACATGTTTGCTAAATGAGTGAGTGGCCAAAGAGTGATTTCAGTAGAACTCCCTAAATGATGTGGTAATGTCCTTTGAAATATGCCTAACTGATGGTTATTCAACCTTCTCTAGAATGCTTCTGGAGATGTGGTATTTACTACCGTGTGTGAAAAGGTATGGCAATTTCTATACTTGTAGTTGTTGGAAAGACCTTTTCCTTATATTTAGAAAACTGGTCCTCACACTGGAGCATGAGACAGAGTCACTTGCCAGGCTTGTTTAAATAGCTTGCCAGGCCCACCTCCAGTTTCAGACCCAGCAGGTTTTGGGTGGGCCCAAGAATTTGCCCACTTTTAACAAGTTCCCAGAAGATGCAGGTGCAGCTGGTTCCAGTACCACGTTTTGAAAACCACTGGTTTTCAGACTGTTGAATGTTTTTCTTTATTTCTCCCTTATTCTCAGAGCCTATGGGGAAAAGGCAGAGTCCCCAAAACCACACACACACACACACACACACACACACAAACACACACATCACAAATACATATCACACCTGTACCATACTGTCATGCACTCTCAAACACCCTCACACTCACTCTTTCACATTCACTCACTCTCACACATACTTTCACACCCATATTCTCTCTGATACACACATGAGTGTGCACCCCACTTATATTTCTAGCTTTTTCCTCTACAACTATACAGGACAAGCCCTTCAATATAGAACTGCTTAAATGTGGACATGGCTCAGACACCTTCTTAGTGCTTCCCTGACAGACCTCTTACAAAACAACAAGCAGCTGCAGAACCAGGGCAGAAGAGGATATATTCTCTACCTGAGGCCCAAGAGCAACCGTAAGGTATGGGCCTAACCTGGACACTGGTCAGTGGTCCTGCTGCTGCTCCAACTTCCTCCTTACTGGTGTAAGAGTGAGGTGATGTGTGTCCTTGACTTAGCCCATATTCCTGATAGTGGTTCCATGTTTACATTACTGTGTCCTTCAAAGGCTCAGATCAGGATGAAGGTTAGGGGTTGAGGGGTGAGATCTTATGGCCAGACACAGGGACCTGGGATGGAGATTGCAGTCACAATGCAGCCTTGGCTCACCTGGCTGTAATGGTCTCACCTGTGCTCCCTGATTTCACCCTTCCTCATTTAGTCCAGTACCGATGCCACCCTAGGGAGCATGTTGGGGTGGGGCCCTCCAGTTAGGAGCTAGTGAATATCGGCATGTCCTTGGGAAGGACAGTTTCAGAAGGCAATTGGGCTGCTTTCAGAGATCCCTGAAAATACACTCTTATGCTGTGTTCCCTGTCTGACCCTCCTTGCCCTCACTCCTGCTCCCTGGGATCACCTTCCAGATCAACTCATCTCAAGTTCTCATCTTAGTAAGTGTTGACCAAAAATGTGACTTGGTCTGAATTATCTGGTGAATGAAGGCCTCCAGGGTACAGAATCTTTGCAGGAGAACTTCAGGCACAGCCAAACCCACCAGGGCTACAGGTTCTCAAAGACAGGGCTAACCACCTGCAAGAGTTTTAACTTGCTCATGTCTAGGACCAAGCTCTGCTCAAGAAATGTGTCCTTTTCACAGGGCATAGAGACGCAAATGTAACCTTTATGTCTAGGAGTTTATTTGCCCTAATTTGAAATTTACTCACTGTTAATTATATGCGTTACAACCCCTGTTTCTAACATTCATGTTACCCTCCTGGGCACTGTCAAGTTACAGGAGCCCATATCCTAAATGCGTTTCCAGGACAGGCCTGATTCTCATATAAGATTTGCATTTGAGAGAGGTGGTATAAATCTGTCTGTCTAAGCTTCTCTTTTTATGTTATATATCTTAGAAAGAAGTGGTCACTTTGGATCATTGACTTTCTATATGTGACATGTCTTGTAATCCACAGCAATACTATTAAGATGAGAAAATTTTCAGGAGAGAGGTGGAAAGAGGAGACCTATGCACCAGGCATTGACCTGTACATTAAATAAAGTCTAGAGCAGAGATTTTTAATGCCCAAGTCCATGCTCATGCCCCCTTCTCCACACTCCAGCAGGCAGTGCTATCTCTGCCCTTCAGAATCCTTCTCAATATCCAGAACCAAACTCTTCCCTTAGTCTCCTAGAGCTGGCTTCTGAGAGGAGCCACATACGTTTACTGGACCTTTGAAAATGTAGCTTAATGTACTATGCCAGGGGCTGTGTAGGGTATGTGGAGCCCCACCCTCCAGGAACTTTGAAGATATACAAACACAGAAGACTTACAAGGATCTGTGAGAGGCCTCAAGAGACAGAGAGAGGGACTGTCCATAGGAAAAAGCCTGGAACAAAAGGTAGCCCCTGCACTGTGTCTTGAAGAACAGGTGAGATATGGGCTGCCACAAGTGTAAAGATAGAGTTTATCCCAAAGAACACAGTTGAGAAACAGGTGACAGAAGAACAGAGAAGTCAAGTGAATGAAGGCCCCAGAGGGCTCAGCCAGCAGTGAAGGATCCAGTTAGCTTCAGTGGTGGCGGCTTTATTTTTAAATCCCAGAGATACATTTGTAATTAATAAGTGAACAGGGACACCTGCTGCCCCATTAGGTTGACCACACAGAGGAGGAGAGACTCCACACTGTCCCTGAGGCCAGGGATCTTTATTCACAGGGACTAGCATGATTTGCCTCGCTGATAACTAGTAGTCACCTGCAGGTTTCCCAGAGGTAAGCTTCATGGGGTCCATGATGCCTCTGGGACCAACATCAGAGATGAGTGAGAGATGGAGACAGTGCCTATTGTTCTCCTGTCACTGAGGTGTGACCTCCCAGTGCTCTGTTAGTCAGTGGGCAGCACAAACCCGGCCCTCTCCCCACAGGCAGGTCCAGGAGGAAACAGGTCCAGTACCTCTGAGATAAGCACAATGAAGTACCCTGCTCCCCTCTGCAGATGCAGGAGAACTCCCTCACAAAAATACTCAGAAGCTATATCTTTTCCTATCCTGGGTCCAGGAAGGACAGAGGTATGTCTGAAGCTTGCTTGCCATAGCTCTACTATTAAAGGCCTGCTCAATTAAGGGAAGAGGAATCTGCTCTTGGTTTCATTCTTAGAACTCATAGGTTAGTCTTTAATTGGACTGGTTTGACCAAGAGATTAATTCCTCCCTCAGCACCCAAATACCCCTCCATCTGGCCTTACCCTCTGTGGTGGTCACTGGATACCCTTAGAGAATGACTCTGTTTTTTAAGAACTGAGGCTGGGATCCTCCCAAGATAGTAGACTTGGCTGGAGATGCTGGGCCCCTGGAAAACACTACCTGAACCACTTTGACCCAATAAACCCAAGACCTCAGTCTCTGTGCCTGCAGCAATCCTGCTGACTGTCATTGAGCCTAAACTGGGGACACAGCCACTATGACATTTATGTCAGTTACATCATGAGAGATGCCTGCCCAGGCCCCTGCTGGCCTGTCCTCACCTTCCTTTTAATGTGGTTACCTTGTCCCAGGGAGGAAGCTGTGTCATCTGTGCCAGTGTGGACAGACAGCAGAGTTGGAATTATTGCACTACTGCAAGGGCTAAGAATGGATTTTGACCCAAGACTTGCCTGCTTTATCTATAACTGTCTCAGTTATCTCTTGCTCCAAAGTAAACCACTACAAAACTTAATGACTTAAATCAACACTAATTTGTCATTTCTCACAAATGAGGGTTGACCAACAACAATGTGCTCTTTTGCTGTTCACAAAGCCAGTGGTGGCTGTTTTGTAGGGCCTCACCTGGGGTGGGACATTCAAGACAGCTCACACATGCCCAGCACCTTAGAAGGCAGCCAGAGGCTGCCTCAGCCAGGACTCTTGGTGCAGTCTCTGGATCTCTCCCTCTCCAAGGAGCCTATTTTATGGCTGCTAAGACTCCCAAAGCACAAATGAGGAGACTGCCAGGCCTTCTAAATGTTTCTAAAGTTTAAAGTCCTGTGTGAATAAGTCACTTTTTCTGTAGCCAGTTGGTCACAAGATCAGCCCAGATTCACTATGAAGATGACAACATAAGAGGATCAATACTGGGAAGTTATCTTTTAATAATTTTTATCTCACTTTCTCAAATCTCAACATAAACCTGAATTTCCATTGAAGGAGATAAGACTGTGCTGGCAACATCATCAAAGGTCTGCTTATCCTGAGGAATTATAAAGTGCTAAAAAAGAGATCATTTCTCATCTTGGCTACTTAACAATTCTATTATAGTTTTATTATATTTTTGAACACCCTGACTATGGTTTTGTCTTTGAAAACTATCTCATTATGTGTCAAATGCCACCAAATCAGTGACTCCCTTTACAGGAAGCACTTGCTTAGAGGACATACTGTTCTTTTCTACTCCTGTTACCATGTGTCATCCTCTGATGTAGTTTTCCCATCTGAACAGGGTGGAGGGAGCCTGATACAGCCAACTGGGTCACTGTCCAGCTTTGTGCAGTCTAGGGTCACTTAGCTACAACTGGCTAAAAATAGCAACTTTTAGTCAGAAACACAGGTTTTTGTGTCACAAACATCACTCTGACATATGTGCCTTCCTGGGACATAGCCTTCCTATGGAGTAGCAGTTGCCACGAGACAGTTGCAGCTACCTTCCCTGAGCACAGAGCCATGTGAGGTATGATGAAAGGCTTCAGAATTTAGCTTTTGGAGATGAGTCTTGATTAATAAGCATCAATCATGCCCCTCTTAAGTAAAATGATTGAGTCCATTTTTGTTTTTAATTAGAAATAAAATTTATTTATTAGGAACATCTATAAGCAGTATTCAATGAATGCTAAATTACTATTTTGGAAAAGAAGACAAAGGAGCAAGTAATTAAAACTTAACTCAGGACCTTGAAGCAGCAGCATCTAGGATTTCTCTTTGGAATTCAGCGTAGAAAAAGGATATGTCCCGGAACTCATGGCCCTAAGGAATGGAGAATACACAGTGGGAGTAGTCACCACACCCAGCATGCCTGCCAGAACCCCTCTGAAGATGTAGCTAAAGGTAGAATCCCAACCTCAAACTAATAGAAGAAAAACTATGGGTTACAGCTACATTAGTTTTCTAAATTGTATTAAAATTTCTATTTGCCCAGAGATAGAAAATGCATTTTTTGTGGTAAATTTACGGTCATAATATAAATGGATATATTAGGATTAGGATTACTGAAATTTTCCTGAAAGATCCAAAGAAACACAATGATAAATATAACTACCTCCGAAAGATTCCAAAATGGTGAGTAAGTTAATGGAAGCTACACAGACCATTTCCCAGGACCAAACTGAAATTACAACTAAAATAAAGACAAATCATTGGGAAAATGAAACATAAAATCAGCTGGAGAGAGCCCATATAACCAGGAAGAGGAAAAAAGAACACTGAATTGAGCTTGGTAGGTCTGCAGAGCCGCAAGAGGGCAGGCTGGGAGCCCAGAGACATCAGCGATCGTAGCTGTGAGCAGTGCCTTCTAGGATAAAATCCCAAGCTGGCTCCACAGTGCAGAGGGCTGGGACTGAGCACTAAATTACTAAATTAGCTAAAGCCACTCACCTTGGGCTCTGGCAGAAGGAGGGCAGACTGGACTGGAACTGTGTGGTGACAATTGAGATTTGCAGGTTGCTCAGAGTTTTTTCTGTGTCGTACCAATGCAGGATGTTGCTCATCTTTCTGCTTCCCAGACCTATAGGGAGAAGCAGCAGCCTCTCCCTCGGATATTTAACCTGAACCACCTGGGCCAGAGAAATGAAAATTGAGTCTCATTAACAACCAGTATCTGCCCCAATCTCTGGGAATTATCTTACGCTGAATACCTGAGGCAGTATTTCATTCAGCAGATGGCTACAACCGAAGGCTTATCAAGTAACTGAGACTAATAGTCTCCAGGCAAAAAACTAGAGGATAACTGAATCTTTTCTGGGCTTGCAAATCTACCCAGGAAAGTAAGTCTTGGCAGTAAAGTTTAACGTGGGTCCTCCCACACTCATCCAAACCCAGTAGAGGAAGCTACAAACAGCGGAACAATAACACACACAGGGAAAAATTGGCAAGCTCTAAAACAAACTGAGATAGCCAAAATGGTGAAACAAAGAAACAAATCCCAAATCAAAGAACAAGATAACTCTACTAAAGATGAGATGAATGAAATGCAGTTAAACAATTTATCAGAGGTAGAGTTCAGAGCCATGATCTTGAGGAAGTTTAACAGCATGAGTAAGGAGCTCAACAACATGAGTAAAGATATAGGAACATTGAAAACTAACCAAGTGGAAATGAAGGATGAGATAGCAGAAATAAAGAACACATTGAAGGACTAACCAGCAGAGTAGAGGAAGCTGAGGACCAAATCAGTGAATTAGAAGACAGGGTAAAAAAAAAAAAAAAAAAAAAAATCAACCAATCAGAAAACCAAAAGAAAAGAAAAAAAAACAAAAAACCAATTAAAAACAGGAAGACAGCTTAAGAGAACTATGGGACAACTGGAAATATAATGTTTGCATCATAGGAGTTCCAGAAGAAGAAGAAAATGAGCAAGGATTAGAGAATATATTTGAAGAAATAGTGACAGAAAACTTCCCTAGCTTGGTGAAGAAGGCAGTTCAAGAAGCACAGGGAACCCCAAGTAAGAAGAACCCAAACAATCCCATTTACCATTACTGAAAAAAATTAAGATTCTTATAAATATACTTAACCAAAGAAGTAAAGGACCTATTTGCAGAAAACTATAGACATTGAAAAAAGAAATAGAGGAAGACATAAAAAAGTGGAAGCACATGTCTTGTTCATGGATTGGGACAATTAACATCATTAACATGTTCATGCTACCCAAAGCAATGTATAGAGTCAATACAATCCCCATCAAAATACCAATGACATATCTTACAGAACTAGAACAAATACTTCAAAAGTTCATATGGAAACAAAAAAGATTGCAAATAGCCACAGCAATTTTGAAAAAGAAAGACAAAGTAGGTGGTATCACAATACCAAATATCACGTTATACTACAAAGCCATTGTAATCAAAACAGACTGGTACTGGCACAAGAACAGGCATATGGAACAGTGGAACAGAATAGACAATCCAGAAATGGACCCAAGACATTATGCTCAATAAATATTTGACAAAGGTGGCAAGAACATACAGTGGAGTAAAGACAGCCTCTTTAATAACTGATATTGGTAAAATTGGACAGCTACATGCAAAAAAAAAAAAAAAAAGAAAAGAAAGAAAGAAAGAAAGAAAGAAAGAAAGAAAGAAAGAAAGAAAGAAAGAAACTAGATCATCAACTTACACCATACACAAGACTAAATTCAAAATGGATAAAAGACTTAAATGTCATTTGTGAATCCATAAAAATCCTAGAAGAAAAAATGTAGGCAACAAAATTTTCAACATCATACACAGAAAAAATTTCATTGATACATTACCTAAGACAACAGAAACAAACAAACAAACAAAATAAACACATAGGACTACATCAAACTCAAATCTTCTGCACAGCAAAAGAGACAACCATCAAAATGGAAAGGGAACTCACTATATGGGAGACCTTAATTGCCAATGATACACCAGATAAAAAATTAATTTCCAAAATATATAGAGTACTCATACAACTCAACAAAAGGAAGACAAAGAACCCAATTAAAAAATAGGCAGAGGACCTAAATAGACACCTCTCCAAAAAGGAAATACAAATGGCCAAGAGACATATGAAGAAAGGCTCAGTGTCACTAATCATCAAAGAGATGCAAATTAAAACAACTATGAGGTACCACCTCAAACATGTCAGAATGGCTGTCATCAACAAATCATCAAACGACAAGTGTTGGTGAGGGTGTGGAGAAAAGGAGACTTGAGTACACTGCTGGTGGGAATGCAGACTGGTGTAGCCACTATGGAAAACAACATGGTGTTCCCTCAAAAAATTAAAAATGGCCCTGGCTGATTTGGCTCAGCGGTTACAGCATTGGCCTGTGGTCCAGAGAGATCCCAGTTCAGTTTCCCTTAAAGCATGTACCTCGGTTGCAGTTTGTCCCCAGCCCTGGTTGGGTCATGCAGGTGGCAGCCATTCAACATGTCCCTTTCACGTTGATATCTCTCTCTCTCTCTCTCTCTCTCTCTCTCTCTCTCTCTTTCTCTCTCTCTCTCTCTCTTCCTCTCTCTCCCTCCCACTCTATCTGAACAAAAAATAAAAAATATCCTCGGGTGAGGATAAAAAAAAAAGAAATAAAAAAAATTAAAAATGAATCTGCTATTTGACCCAGTGATTCCACTTATAGAAATATACCCTAAAAAGCCTGAAACACCAGTCAGAAAGAATATATGTACCCTTATGTTCACAGCAGAACTATTTACAATCATTAAGATCTGAAAACAGGCCAAGTCTCCATCAGTAGATGAATGGATAAAAAAAACCTGTGGTACATATATACAATGTAATAGCAGCCATAAGAAAGAAAGATCTCTTATTCTTTGAGACAACATGTAGGGATCTCAAGAGTATTATGCTAAGTGAAGTAAGCCAATCAGAGAAAGACAAATACTACATGATCTTACTTATTTGTGAAATATAACTAACAAGGTAGGCTGATGAATAAAATAGACCCAGAAACATAGAAAGGAGTATTCTTCAGACTGACAAACCTCAGAGTAGTGGGGCTGGGGCAATGGATGAGATAAACAAAATAACTTACATGCAAGTATACATAACAAAGAACATAGACAACAATACTAGGGGGTGGGGATGGTCAGATGGGGAAGAAGATTGTCTATGGGGGAAAAAGGAAAAACACGTGTAACAAAAATAAATTAATAAAAATTGGGGGGGGGGGCATAACTACCTCCTAAATATTGTCTGTCTTTTTCTTTACAGTGGTGGGATATAAATAAATAACAGGGGAATTTTACCCATCACTGCCATGTGAAAAGTACAGACCATTTTCCAGGTTAGGGATGTTAAAATGGCCCTTTTCCTACAGAAGCAGTTAATACATTAGGAAAATGCCTTTCTTATTCTATCAGGGCCTTAAAGAAAAGGCAACCAAACTCCCATCTCTACTACACATATCCCACTCCTGCTTCAAACCTGCATCCCATCTTGATGATTGGAGTCAGGCTGAAATCTGCAAGACCTCTGGGCATTTAAGATAAATTGTAGTTGACACCAGTCCTTAACCTTTTTTCACCCTCCCAGGCCCTGAGAAAATCCTCCCCAATGCAAGTCAGACAGAGCCTCCTGCTTAAGGCAGGAGAAAGGTCTGTACAAACATCAGATTGAGGTTCCCCCCTCCCATGAAAGAGAAAGCCATTGCTCCTGGGAATTGGCTCCCCTGTGTACTGACAACTCCAGGGCCAGCCCATGCTGAGGAGAAACAGAGCCCCAGATGGACACATTTCACTCATATAACTGACCAATCTTCTAGTTAGAACGACCAGATTAATAAGAGGAACATCTACAGTTGTGTTGGATAGAAATTTGGGGCACCCTAAAAGAAGTGCACCCTTGTGGACTTAAAAAGAAAATAAATACCACCACTACCACAACCACCACCCTTGCATCAATGGACCAGCCATGTTCCCTCTGAGTGAAGCTCTGACTCGGCCCTTCTAAACTCCTAGGTGCTTGAGACAAATGAAGTCTATAATCAAGTTCATTCATGGCTCATAGAAAAAGATTTCAAATCAGAGACTCTGTCTTTTATGCTTTTCATCAAGCAAGAGAAAACCAAGAAGCTTTTTCTGTCCCTTTTGCCTACAATTTCATAGCAATAGGTGAGGATTTGTTTCCCTATAAGAAAGTCTTAATACATTGTTTGTTCTAATCACTGGAGCTTTTAGCTGGAGGGAAGTGGGGACTAAGCCAGGGCAGAGTCCTTTTCTTGTTACAGATATTTAACCTTTTTATCCCATTGGCACCCCCCACCCACCCCACCTCCGCCCCGTCCCCGGCTTAGTTGTCCATGTCCATTGGTCAGGCATACATGCATATAAGTTCTGTGGTGTATCTCTTCCCACCCCCCAACCCCCCCACCCCCTCCTCTGAGGGATATCAGTCTGTGCCCTACTTCCATATGTCTGGGTCTACTGTATTCCTCAGACTGTTATGTTCATTATATTCCATATATAAGTGAGATCACGTGGTATTTGTCTTTTTCTCCTTGGCTTCTTTCACTTAGGATAATACTTTCCAGGTCCCTCCATGTCATCTCAAAGGATAAGAGATCTTTCTTTCTTACCGCTGCATAGTACTCCATTGTGTATATGTACCACTGTTTTTTTTTATCCATTCGTCTACTGGTGGACACTTGGGCTGTTTCCAGATCTTAGCTATTGTAAATAGTGCTGCTATGAACATGGGGGTACATATATCCTTCCTGATTGGTGTTTCAGGCTTCTTAGGGTATATTCCCAGCAGTGGGATCACTGGGTCAAATGGAAATTCAATTTTTAATTTTTTGAGGTAGCACCATATTGTTTTCCATAGCGGCTGCACCAGTCTGCATTCCCACCAGCAGTGTATTAGAGTCCCCTTTTCTCCACACCCTCGCCAACACTTGTTGTTTGATGATTTGTTGATGACGGCCATTCTGACAGGTGTGAGGGATACCTCATTGTTGTTTTAATTTGCATCTCTCTGATGATTAGTGATGTTGAGCATTTCTTCATATGTCTTTTGGCCATTTGTATATCCTGTTTGGAGAGGTGTCTATTCAGCTCCTCTGCCCATTTTT